CCCCTGCGGCCCGCCCTCACCCTGGGCCCAAACTGCTCCAGCCGCCGCTGCACCACGTCCATCAGCGTCTCCAGCAGCAGCCGCCGGTGCCGCCCGCCGACCCCCACGCGCGACAGCCCCCACGCCGACTGCGCCAGCTCCCGCGGCTCCCAGTCGCGCGGCGCGCCGCTCAGCGCGTCAAGCGCGTGCGCCATCAGTGCGTCCAGGAACTCGCGGTGGCGCGCCGCACGCGCGCGGAGCCGCGCCCAGCCGGCGAGCGCGGCGGCGCAGTCGACGGGGGTGAAGCCGCGCATCACCGCGGCGCCGCGGCGGCAGAGCGCGGTGAGCACGGGCTCGGCCTGGCGGCCCAGCACGCCGTAGGCCCACATCGACAGCGACACCCCCCAGGGGTCGAGGGAGTCGACCTGGCGCAGCAGGATGTCTGTCACGTCAGACAGGAGACGCTCCGCTGCATCGGCAGGCGCCGCCGTCGCTGCTGCTGCCGCGTCCCCGTCGGCCGCCGCCGCCGCCGCCGCTGTTGCTGGGAGCGGTGGTGATGACGGCGGTCTTGCTGCTGCTGCTGCTTCAGAGGCATGCGTGCTGTTGCCACCGGATTCCTGGCTCGGTTGCCCTCCAAGCTGCTGCTGCTGCTGCTGCTGCTGCTGCTGCTGCTGCTGCGGTTGCCGCCACGGCGATGGTTGCCACCGCGGGCCTGAGATGTGCCGCACAAGGGGATCAGAATCACCACCATACCCTGGCACCTCCGCCGCTACTCCTGCGACTCTGCCCTCTCCAAAGCTAGGCAGCGAGGCTAAAAGCGGCCCGCGCCCTGGCCGTGCCCTCTCCCCCTGCGTCCCACCCCGCAGCTCTCGACGTGCGGTCGTCGTTGCCGCCGCGGCTGCCGCGGCCGCCGCCGATTTCAGCAGCTTCCCCTGCTGCAGCTGCGATGTTTGCTGCATCCGCGCCAGCATGTAGAGTGCCTGCACAGCGTCTCTGCCACGAAAGTCTGCGCCCTCTTCATCCACCAAAGCCGACAGCGCCGGAACATTGGTGGCTCTGAGATGACACCAGCAGGGGAAATTCGTGAGTGAGGATGGGAACAGCACGAAGGAGATACAGAGAGCAAGGCTAAGTGCATGAGTGAGGTCGGCGGGGCGATTCTAGCCGTTGTGCAGGGGTCCACCAAGCAGCGGCTTTCTAGGCGCAACGGCGTCACAGCAGTTGACAGCACGCGCACACACAGCCATGAGGGTGTCGAGCGGGGATCAATCTGCACTGCCGGGCCACCGCTCACGCTGCAATTCGCGTGCTGATCTTGATTCCTGGCGCGAGATCGTCATCTGTCAACGGCGGTTCGTCCTCGGCAGCGGCCACGCGCAGGACCTTGAGGCGCAAGCCTGTGCATCGGTGGGTGTGCAGTTCGCCCGGTGTTGGCTGCAGGGTGTGCAGAGGGGCATTGCAAGCAGCATTGCACTGCCTTCCCATGTGCACACACACTGCATTGAATTCAAGCTCTACGTTGGCTGTCGAGCGCATCCGGGCGAGGGGGCGAAGCTGCAAAGAATGCACAACACCAGACAGCGCTCACCTGATCGTCTGTCAAAGAGCGGGTCAACACCCCTTCCTGATGTCGAGGCTGCGTCTGCGTCTTGGTCTATCGCTGTGCAGTGTATTTGCAACCTGCAAACATATGCACAACAGCCATGGAAGGTTGTGTGGGAGGCGAGTGTGAGCGTGTGCGCACCGGCTGGTGTTGCACAGAGTGCGAGCGGCGGCGGCCGTGCGCGCGGCGCGCGCCAGTGGGGCCTCACCTGTGCCTGCATCTGACTGAATGGCCTCGGTAGGCTGAGAGGTGGGCCTCGCCACTTCTCACGCTCGCTGGTTGGCCTTGTAAAGGCCGCTGCTGCATACCGTTGCCTCGCTCTAGTAGGGGGCCCCTGCGAGAGCAGCCCTCCGCGACACTTGATTATTTTATACTTGGCATCAGTGCCTCATTGATACAAGGCTGATTGTGATGTGATCACCGGAGGCCTTTGTGCAGCCGAGAGTCCTCTAATGCGGTGCTGAATCAGTGTATTTTGGAACAGGATAATAAGGTACACTGGGCACAATGGCGCGAGGACAGGCATTGCACAACGGACGCCTGCACCCGGCGCACACAGTTGAGAATGGGAGAGGTGCTGTGCTGGTGGCGCCGTCGTCGGGCCAACTCGGAGGAAGCAGGGCAACTCTACAACGTACTGCATATAGATCAACTTCACCTTCACATGCACGCAGTGATGATACGTGTGCTACCACGAGGCGTCCGGAGTGGTCACCACCGTAGACACCGCACACGGCAAATGTGGCAGGCAGCAGTATTCAAGTATGCTCAAAGCGATAAGGGTATCCCCGCCCGTACCCACCAGAATCTGACCTTGAAGAACATGACATTCACTATACTGTACTGCGCGGCTCCCACGGAGACGAGCATGCAAACTGCATGCTTTGAGAAGCTGGGGGGCAACACGCACTGGTTTAAGGAGATCAGCAGTCTAGGTTGTGGCGCAGCTTGTACGTCGAGCCATTGCTTGCTGCTTTGCGTCACATTGTCTTCTGCAGACGCGAATCGACATATGAGTTTCACCAACCCCAGAAGAATCAGTGCGTGGAGAGCTGTGGCGGCAACTAGAGGACGCGATGGTGCCTGAATGTTGGCATATGTTGCAGCAGATGCAGATTGAGGAGAAAGCTTACAAGTTGCTTGACTTTGATTTTCTTGGTGGCTCTATGCTTGCTGATATCATTTCCCCTGATGTGTATGCTTGCTGGCAGATCCGTGGGAAGGTTAGGAATGAGGAGGTCTGCTCTGAGGAGCGCAGGGCCGATGGCAGTGATGCTATGGCATGAGTAACTTATCTATCTATCTATCCCATAACGAGCAAGCAGAGACAGTAATCGGTTTGTGTCTCAGGGGGCTTGAATGGACGGTCGCTACTGTAGGCGCCCAATTCAGCGAGTATGGCAAGCGGCAGTGTGTGAAAAGCGTGCGGGATGTGCCTGCCCTGACTCATTCTATGCACACACTCAAAGAACCGTAACAACCACAAGTCCAGATGCATTCAATATAAATCCGTTCATGAGGGTGGCACGGTGCGCAGCTGGTAAGCCAGAGCTCAGGTGATAACCAAGTGAGGTGGGAGGACTACACTGGTATCCATCGTTCCGCTGCATTGACCACCTGTCCAGACCGCAGAACACATGCTTAATGAATTATGCGTGTAGAGCGTTGTGGCCAGCCCTGCACATGATTGGCATCAACCACATGCACTTCCAGCATTGGTGATAAAAATGTGCACATACGAGCTCTTTTGGGACCACCACTTAGTGGATTGTGCGAGAGTTTTGCGCCTGTCCTGTGGCTGCTCTTGAACGCGTGTGAAAGCTTGCTGTGCACCAACCTCTTCGCTTGCCTGCCACACGCAAGCTGCAGATTCAACCCTCAGGACTGGGCTTGTGGGGAACAGGCACCTCAACGCAGCACCTACACTGGTAAGTTGCACCCCAGGTTAACAGTATAGTGAGCATCAGCTTGACCGGCCACTGATGCGCATGCAATCGGTCATCGTCAGGTCATGGCCATGTCGCCCCATCTGGTTTGACCGGCAGGCCGCCAGTGGTGCTCGTCATGCCTACCCTGTGCCTGTTCCAGCTCTTTTGTGGATTGTGCATTTGGACATGGGGCTTTCCACAAGGGGAAGATCGTGACAGGCGCGCCCTTCCACCCGCAGCTGCCGCAGAAGCCAGGATGCCTTGATGGCGGCTCATGTGCAGTCATTCTTCGGGCTCCTCACCTACTTGTTGAAGAATAAAAACAACAAGGCAGCTGCTTCCGATTTCGAGAAATCGAACGCCTGCTGCTCGTTGTTGAGCAGGACCCTCGCTCGGGAGAGGGTTCCGGCGATCAGGGCGTCTTGGAAGAAGGGGCTGTCGTGATGAGAAGAGACATGCTTTGATAACAGCTGATCAGGCCAGGCCGCTGGGCCCTCGTCGACATTCTGTCTGGTCTTGGACCGAGGCGCACCGCTATGGAGGGAGGCAGGCACAGGAGGTACGTGCTTGAACATTCTACCTGCACACAGGGCGCCTCGGCCCCATGCGATACGAGCTCGGGCAGGCCCAAGCTTACCCATCTCCCTGTACACAGGTCACTTAGCGATACATGGGCAACGCTGTACAGCAATCTCAGCCTTGAAGATGGCGCTGGGCCGGTGAGAGTCCAGCTGGCTATGCAGGCGGGCTCCGTCGAAGCGTTGTATTGTCACCGCCTCGGTGTGCATGCATGGTCTCAGCGCTCATTCTTTCACCATGTTCCACCCCGCAGCCCCTTACAGTGTCGGCGGCCATAGGAGCTGGCATAAACGTGCAGCACCTCCAGCCACTTGAGCTGCAGCCCCTTCCTGGTGGCGGCCATGGCAGCGCTATGCCCGCAGCTTCCCTCGCAGCCATGGTGGCCGCAGGCCCGTTGTACGTGGGCGGCGGTGACGACGCATTGAAGCCGGCCGCGCCCTTCCCTGGCGGTGCGGACCAGCAGCTGCAGCAGCTGCAGCAGGTGCAGCCGCAGCCGTTCCAGCTCTTGCAGCAACACCAGCAAGCAGACTTGGTTGGAGGGCGGCCAGCGCGCACGCGCAAGCCGACGGACAAGGTAGCACTGGGCGTCGCAGTCGCAGGCAAGCGTTCGCACGCTGGCTGCAAGGGCAAGGACCCCGCAACCGTAGCGGCTGCTGCGGCAGTGGCGCTGGAGCGCACGGGTGGTGAGACGGGCAGCGGATGCCACCAGCGTCGCAACTCGTTCACACCGGCACTGCCGTCAGTGCTCGAGCGCGATGGCGGCGAGGATGCCGGCGGCATGGAAAGCCCTCCAAGGTGAGGCGGCGCATTTTCTGGGTCGCAACGGAAACGTCAGTTGTGGGAGAGTCAGGGCAAGCCGATGTTGTCCACCTCTGCCTGATCCAGTGTGAGTGTCCAGTCAGCTGCTGTGCTTCAAATGTTGGGCTGCACTCTTGCATCAGCCAAATATGCCAACGGACGGCTCTCAAATGACTCGTGGCTTGTTGCTTTTCACATCAATCAGGGATGAGATTGGCGAGGAAGACGAAGAAGATGACGACAGCGACAATTACAGTGGCAGCGGCCGTGGCAAGAAGGGCGGCGGCCGACGTGGCGGCGCCAACGGCGGCGGCGCCAGCGGCCGTAACCGCGGCGAGCTGCTAACTCTTGACCCCAAGCGTGTGAAGCGCATTCTTGCAAACCGCCTCAGCGCCGCACGCTCCAAGGAGCGGCGCGTCAAATACACGCTGGAGCTGGAGGCCAAGGTTCAGGCGCTGGATGGCGACCTGGCGCGCCTCTCAAACGAGCTGGAATCCACGCGTGCACGCGCTGCGGCCGCACAGCGCGCGCAGGCTGAGGCGGACGGCCGCGCTCTGGGGCTGCAGCAGGTGCTGGCACACGCGAGTGCCGCCAACCAGGCGCTGGCGGCTGAGGTGCGGGAGCTGCAGCGCTGTCTGGGGCTGCCGGAGCAGCTGCCGTCCCTGACAGCACCGTCGCTAGCAGTTGCAGCGCCTGGCGCCTCGCCGCCGCAGTCCACGCAGGCTCAGCAGGATCAGCATCAGCAGCAGCCTGTGCAGCAGGAGCAGCAGAGTGGCCAAACCGCGTTGGTCATCAAGCAGCAGCAGCCCGCGTTGCTGGGTGACGAGGACGGCGACGTGGAAATGCTGGCGGAGCTGCTGGGTGTGACGGGCTCGCCGCTGCCTCATGAGCGCAGCGGCGCTGCCAGCGGGGTGGCCCCACTCTCGCCAGCAAGTGCGAACACTTCTGCTGGCGCTCACTACAATCACCATCAGCCGCATCAGCAGCTCCAGGTGCAGGGATGGTTGGCCTCCATGAGCGGCCATAGCGTGCCAAGCTCACCGCCGCCGACGGGCATTGCAGGGCGCGGCGGCCTGCACCCCCCGCGGCCGCTGCTGGCAACGCTCTCGGAGCCGCTTGGCGAGCGCATTGCAATCCCAGACGAAGCCTCCACCACCCCGTCGTGGTCAGGCATGTGCACCACACCTGCTGGGGCGGCGGGCCGCGCCTCGAACATCGCGGCGCTGCCCCCTTGCCTGCAGGCGCAGCCGCTCCTGCAGCAGCAGCCTGGACTGCCGCACGAGCCAAGCGGCAGCCAGCCTCTTGCGTTTGGCGCCGCGCCGCAGCCGCAGCGGCCGTCAGGCTCCCAGCACCAGCGGTCCGCAAGCGCGGGGAGCATATCCCCGCTGGCAAGCGATGCGGGGGCCCTGGTTTATGGCAGTGGCATGGCAGCGACTTCCTTCGTGCAGCTCAAGCCAGGGGCAGTGGTGTTCGGCGCGGCACCTCTTCAACTGCCACAACAAGCGGATACAGGCGGGCGGTTTATGACTGTCACGACGCCGGGGCCTGCAGGGACCCCGTCCACCAACATCACAGCAGGCGCTGCGCTCGCTCCAGAGGCACTGCTTGGGCCGGGCGCTGTGCCACTGGCGCCGTTTGGTGGCCTGTGAGGGTTGTGCGGCGAGGGGTGAATGCGTCACCAGACAAGGCTAGATGAGATTATCCCTACACAAACATAGCACACTTCACATCAAAACTTTTCCTAGCGCTCTTAGGCCCAGATCACGCCCAGAGCAGGCCCAGATGACAGGACAGCTAGGCATGCCCTGTGGCAATGACTAGATGCTTTGCTTGCGTGGCGGCAAATCCAACCCCTGCCTGGCCTGGTTTTTGGAATGCTGTGGTGCCCACCGCAACATCGGCACTGGGCTGAAGGAAGCCGGATGGGCCGCAAGTTTGACCCCGGCACTGTGACCACCCTCAGCTTGACAGCACCCCACCCTAACGGTGCACTGTTTGTGGACTGGCCGCCCGCCTCGGGCGGGCGAGGTATACGAGATATGACTGTACGCGCCCGTAGGTGATGACATTGCGCTGCACCTCCCTCAAACTGTGTTGTCGTGCTGCGTGGCTGTGCCTCCTTCAGCTTTGGACTTTCCGGAGAGCTGTGCAGCTCGCTGGCGTTATGAACTGTGATGTACAAAAACCCCATCACGCCCCCTTTGAATAGATGCGTGCATACATCCCAGCGCAGTATTCGCTTGTAACAGATCTTTATGATGCACGATTACGTCGCTTGTTTGGGGGTGGGGATGGGCTGGGTGCCTTGTGCGTTGTGTCAGAGCGCCAGGTGTTTATGACGCCACATGCTGCTCCACGGAGACCAGCTCGCCAACACCATGATCGCTAGAGGCCTTCGCAGCCCAGTCCTGCAGGTGCATGCGGCCGTGCAACACTCACATGCTGACGCGCGCAAGCACCGGGGGCAGCAGGCGCGCAGGCGCCGGCAATATACGATGCCGCCATGATGCACGACACATACGCATGCACCATAAAGTGCGCTTGTGTACGCATATTGCTGGCCATTGGGCGGGAACATGCAGATCTCGATATTTGAAGGCGCGCGGCTGATCTCGCAGCGCGTTTCAGATGATATCAATACAAACGACACTCTTGAGAGCTTACTTGTGAAGCTGCATGGTGGAGAGTTGGCTGGATGTGAGGTGTGCGCTGTTGGCCATGCTGCGGAGAGTTGCGCTTGCTGCAGGCGGCGGCCCGACGCGGTGCACGCACATATCGGCACCCAAACCCATACTTCTTGGGCCTCATCTACAATGCTGTTGCAGATTGACGTTCTGGCCAAGGACGGCACCTGGCGCGACATCGGTGGTGAAAACCCGCTGCTCATGACGCTGGCAGCCGCCGGCGTCGCGCCCGATCAGACCGAGGCGGTCCGCTTCCGACTGCCACCCACTGCCGCCGCCCCCTCCTGCTCTGTCGCTGACGGCGCACGGCGCCGCGGCCAGGCGGGTGGCCCCGCTGCGCGGCGTCGTCGCTGGGTGCGGCGCTGCGTGGGGTTGGCTGCTGTGATGGTGAAGGCTGTCCTCGTGTTGGAGGCTGTTGGCTGGGCCGCCCAGCTGGTCGGCGACAGCCTGCAACGGCGGCGGCGGCAGGACGGCGGCGCTGATGACCCAGGGAGTGGCAGCGGGACCGACCCCGCAGACGTGCTGATGGCCTACCTGACCGGCAGCAAAGGTGAGGCGCAGAGCTCACGGCCCGGGGATGGCCGGGCGCACCGTCGCAGCACGGCACGGAGCGCGACGTGGGCGTGCAGCCCTTGGCACACGCGCGGCTTCGGTCCGCAAGCCGTGTGTGCCCCGCTTGTCGCCAGCACCCTGCGCCCCGCAAGCAAAACCCATCCTCACGCCGTCGCCTGCCCCGTTCGACTCGTCCCGCTCTCCCCCTGTCCCTCAAGGCTCATCGTCGCTGGCGGCTTTGAACACTGAGCAGATGGCCGAGGCTGTGGACGCGCTGGGCTCCAGCGACTTCCAGGAGCTGGGGGTGGAGGACGGCGGCGCGGAGCTCAGGGCCGCGGTGGAGGACCTGGTGCTGGAGCGGCAGGTGGGGCGCGGCGCGGCGCGGTGTAGGCTGCCGGTGCTGGCGCGGCGCGGTGGGCGGCGCTCTGCAAGCGTGAGAGGGAGGGGGCGTGCGTCTGCGGACAGGCTGGCGGCGATTGCGCTGAGCGGCTGCACGGGTGCATTTGTGGTGGGTCGAGCTTGCGTGTTGTGGAGCCACCATGCATCTTGGGGAGCTGCCAGTTGAAATACAGGCGCACGCCGGCATACACGACAGCCGATTTGGAGCTTCATGCCTTGCGCCTGTCACAATATGTGCTTGCACTGCAGGAGAGGCGGCGGCAGCTTGAGGAAGCACAGGCAGCAGCGGCGGCCGAGAACGAGGGCCGGCCAACGGCCTCGAGGCGGACGGGGCGCACGCCCGCTGTACGGCGTGGCATGGCGGGGCTGCCGGCGACGAAGGCCGGCGCGTGGCGGCGCGCAAGGGGCGGCGAGCAGGCCGAGGGGGCCACGGGCGCCAAGGCGGGCGGTGGCAGCGGCGCGGGTGGTGCCGCAGCGACTGGGGGCGGTGCAGAGTAGCGGGCAGTGGGCTGTGGCGGGTGGGCTGTAAAAGAGTACCCAGGCAGATCTCTTAGGCTGCGATGGTGTTGTCAGCTGTTGTAATGATCCCTGCCTTGCTACCCTTTGCAGGGGGCTCAATCACTCGAGACCCATGTTTGGGTGTGCATGACCCTGACATCCTTGGACTATTCGATCCAATAGGCGTCGTGTCAAACAGACTTGATGCGCATACAATCTTTTTTGTGAAGCTAGCAATACTGGGCAATGCAGCGCTCATTTCACGACCCATCAGGCAAACAAACGAGTGCGAGAGCGCAAACAAGTGAGTGCTGGTGCCATCCGAATGAAACCCAGTGCATGGCAAAAACGTGAGGATACCCATCTTCAAGAATGCAGGTACCTGGATGACATCTACTCTTCTTGAATTGTAGGGGCTCTACAGCAGGCGTGATCTGGGGCCCCTGGCCTCAACACTTCTCTAGACGCAGATCTACGACCATGAACGCATTGCGTTACCGACTTGGGTTTGCTGTGCGAGAAACAGGGCAGGCGCTGGAGAGGCTTGGGGCGACCCTGCAGGGCGTCAATAGCTTTCAGGAGCAGAGTGAGTGCTTCCAGATGTCGGCAAACGTTGATTGGCTACGCGCAAACGCATTGGCTGCGGAAGTGGGCGCGGCGACAGCTGTGCTAGGGCCGCTGCGCACACACGCTGCAGTGCAAACTTGCGGGTCTGCGCCTGGCTCGCCGCCCTAACCTATCACATGCAATGCTATTTTTCCGCGCACCCCTGCAGTTCCACAGCTGAGCCCGGTGCTGCACGCGGGACTGAAACTGCCCGAGGTGGCCAGCACGACTTGGATCGCGCCGTCTGCTCAAGTGGTTGGCGACGTGACAGTCGGTGATAACTGCTCAATCTGGTACAACTGCACTGTCCGTGGTGAGCAGACGCTGTGCCAGGGCCGTGCATTGCTGAATGCTCGTATGTGCACAATTAGCAGGCGCAGCAGCAACAGCGGCAGGCAGTCGGCTGAGGCCAAGCGGGTGTGTGGTTGCATGTTGCTTGGCCACCGACAATGCAGCTTCGTGCGAAGGGTCGCAACGGCTTTATCAGCACTGCTAGGCATGCGCTGAGCTCATTGGCATGTTTTCCGTCTTCCCAGGCGGGCCCCTCCTTGATGCAGCCCTGCCGTAAAAACGCCGTTGCCGCGCATGCGCGCACCCACCCCCCGACCGCCTGCAGGCGACTCCCAGCCCGTCAGCATCGGCCACAACACCAACCTCCAAGATGGCGTGTCGGTCGGGTCTCTGCGTTCGGACGGCCATGGCACTAAGATCGGCAGCTTTGTGACCGTGGGGCACAACGCGGTGCTGCAGAGCTGCACGGTTCTCGACCAGTCGCTCATCGGCATGAACGCGGTCGTGCAAGACGGCGCCACGGTGCGCTGCCCATGTTGTTGGAGAGGCAGGCGGCAGCCACGGACGCGCCTGTGAGCCGCGTCCGCGCCTTGCTTCCAAGCTGGGCGCATGGTGCATCCCTCTGTGGGGCCAACAGGGGAGCTCGGTTCACTCCTCAACGCGTGGCGAGAGTCAGCGGCTCTGCAGCTCCCTTGCTGAGAGAGATTCATGACCCCGCTGCTTTCCCCCGCCACAAGAGGTGTCGCCCCTGTACGTCCCGCCGTCCTCCTTTTGCCCAGGTGGAGTCCGGCGCCATGGTCGCCGCCGGCGCCGTCGTCCCTGCCGGCGCCGTCGTCCCGGGCGGGGAGCTGTGGGGCGGCAACCCTGCGCGCCGCCTGCGGGACCTCAAGCCTGAGGAGGCGGAGTACCTCAAGGCGCTCCCAAAGCGCTACCAGGATCTCGCCGCGGAGCACAAGGGCGCGCTCCAGCTGGTCAGGGCCAAGATGGATGCCCTGGCGGCCGGCAGCCTCGAACAGGCGCCGCCGCAGTGAGGCGCGCGGGGGCAGCGGGGCCGCGCGCGGCCGCTGCATGTGTGCGCGGCGGCGGCGGCGGTGGCGGCGGAGGCAGGCTCGGTGGTCACGCCGGCCTGCTGGCTGGCTGGCGGCTTGCAGGCGCCACCGCGGGCGAGCCGGTGGCGGCGTGCCGGTCGGCTGGCGGCCTGCCGCCGCTACCAGTCATGGCTTAATTGTATCTCCAGAAGAAGAGTTGTGTCTCAGCAGCGCGCGTGCCCGCGCTATTCCGTCGCTGCTGTGTTTTGATTTGGGCTGTGCACTAACTGTGTGCGGCGTGGCGGCTGGCCGCGGTCCAGTCTTGAAGGCGACCAGAGGGTTTGCACGCCGCACTACCTGGCTGTGTAACATACCATGTGAGGCCCAGTGTATCGCTGGTCAAGCTAGAACTCTGCTGTCATGTGATCGGACGGTGATGATGGCACCCGTGCTGTGGCCAACTCGCCGGTCAACCTGTGCAAAGGGATCCGGGGAGGTCAGCAAGGCGCTGGCCACATACAACGTAATATAGAAATGGGCACATAACATAACTTGTGTACTACATCATGCCTGGGCAATGATGCCATGCCACCACCTCGCGGACTGCGGTGGATGAGTTGATGAGTCGAGTGCCACTCGCCGCCGCATTTGCTGCGTCCATGCGGTGGGGCGCGATGCTACGTTTCATATGTGATATTTCCTAAGCGACGGTTCTAGCTCATAAAGTTGCAGGCAGCTGTCGCAGGGTTTGAGATCGTTGCTTTGATCGAGCACGGGGCACGCCAGTCAAGAGTTTTTGTAGCTAAGAATGGCTAGTAAACCACATCAACTACTTCTATCTCGGTTCCTGCTGGCGCTGTCCCTAGCGGGCACCGCCACGGCGGCCTGGCGTGCTTCCGCCGCCGGCCCTGCGCAGCAAACGGCCCTGTTCAGCGAGGGCTTCTTGCCGCTGCACTCCGAATTCCGCGGCCAAGCAGCGCTGCGTGACCTGATACAACGGCTGCCAAAGGCTGAGCTTCACATACACATAGAGGGGACGCTGGAGCCTGAGCTGATGTTTGCATTGGCAGCCAAAAACGGTGTCGAGCTGCCCTACACCGATGTCGAGGCGGCCCGTGCGGCTCGCACCAATTTCACCTGCCTCGAGGTCAGAGGAGGCAAAAGCTGCTGCGGCGCGTTTAGGCTTCTGTGTGGAGGCAAAGGGGCATGTTCATCCCACCAGCAAAGTGGCGCACAGCAACAACATCAGCATCCAGCGCTGTGAGCTCTGCGTCAAACACACAGCCACAGCGCCCAGGTCCGTTGCAGCCTGCTGCTGCGGCCTGATCATGTCATTGAGTTTCTCTCTAAGTCCATTGCCTTCTCATTACTACTGCTGCTGCACTCCGCGGCGCGCGCCACGCACCCAGGACTTCCTCCGGATGTACGCGGCAGCCACCAAGGTGCTCATCACTGAGGACGACTTCTACCGCCTGGCGCAGCAGTACCTTGCGCGCGCAGAGGCTGAGAATATCAGGGCCGCGGAGATATTCTTTGATCCTCAGGGGCACCTGGCAAGGTGGGCATGTCTGGGTCTGCTTGGGGCAATCCGTTCCTAAATTCAAGCAGCAAGCCAGCCCCCCCTACGCCTGCACCCACACCATCACCGACGAACACACGCTGGGGCATCAACACGCCAGCCACCGCTCATGAAGCCTCACAATTGTGACGTCCCCCCCTCAAAGGGGTGTGCCCCTGGAGACCGTGATCCGCGGCCTGTCGCGCGCCCTGGCAGAATCACCTGTGGAGGCATCCCTCCTGCTGTGCGTGCAGCGCGAATTTGGCGCCAAGGCGGCCGCCGAGGCGCTGACGCGAGCCATCCCCTACCTGCCAAAGAGCGTCATCATCGCGCTGGGGATGGACGGCAGCGAGCTGGGCCACCCGCCGCGCAACTTCGTGCTTGCATACGGGGAGGCGGCGGCTCTGCGGCTGCACAGGGTGGCGCATGCAGGTATGATGAGGAGCGGCAGGGTGCTCGCATGCACGTTTATACAGGGCCAGCAACAAAGGCACATGTCTGGAATGTTTGGGGGCAAGCTGGTAACCCCTGCTGTCACATGGCATCCGCCTTTCGTGTCCCAACCATACTCAGTCTTTTAGATGTCTCACAGCCATTTGAGTCTGTGAAATGGCATGTTTGCCATTGGGCCGCATCATCCTTCTCCACTATAATTACAGGCGAGGAGGGCGGCCCCTCCTACGTGCGCGAGGCCCTCAGTCTGCTGGGTGCGGAGCGCATAGACCACGGCATCCGCTCCCTGGAGGACCCGGCCCTGGTGGCGGCCATGGTGAAGAGCCAGGTGCCCATCACGCTGTGCCCGCTGAGCAATCTTAAGCTGCAGGTGTACAAGGGGCAGCTGGAGGATCGCATTCGCCAGGTTCTGGCCAGCGGGATGCGCGTCACCATCAACAGCGACGACCCGGCCTACTTTGGGAGGTGGGCTGTGGGGGATGAATGAGGCAGCAAGAAAGCCCGAGGTGTAGGGTTGGACAATGGCACAGTCATGCAGGTGCACATCTCAGCCGACCTGATTCTGACAAGGCTTGATACAATAATCTCACAAAGGCAGTGTATGGATTGTGCAACCTCACTCGATATAATCCCATCCATTTGCTCTCAACGCCCACCGCTTTCCCTCGTCTTGCCTCACCTCGACCCCCAAACCTCTCCAGCTACGTGTCTGGCAACTACGAGTGGGTGGCGCGCATAGCCGGGCTCGGACCAGACAGCCTGGCGGCACTGGCGGCCAACTCCTTCACGTCCAGCTTCATGCCACAGGTGAAGCAACAAGAGGGGGAGTGGGTGGCGGCGCAGAAGCCTGAGTGAACATTTGTTTGGCTGGATGTGCGTGTCGCGTGCAGCACCACGCTGCAACACGTTCCCGGAAGTCTCACTGTGTCTGTTAATTGCCACCTGGTGGTTTTGTCTCAAACGCCTTGCCATCGCCCCTGCTTGCCACAGGAGCGCAAGGACGCACATGTGGCGGCTGTTCAAGACGCGCTGGATCAATGGAGGCGTGACCAGGCCAGCTTCCAGCAGGAATGATTGGGTGTCATATGCCCCTCTTGCTCCGCACCTTGGCACCTGTCCCCCCCTTTCCATTGATGGAATTGAGAAAAACATCAAGTGATCGTGGCAGACATTGCCATTCTGTGCCCTGTGCTGCACACCTTGTTCACTGCTGCCCTGATAAACAATGTCGCCACTGCGGCCCATGTGCTTGGTTGCTGACTGTCAGAAACTTGCGCTCTGACTCGAAGGAACATCATGTTCCACCAGCAGTGGTGACTGTCCAAAACAAGGATTATCCCCACTTGCTGCACTTGGTGCCTGCATTGGATGTTTCTGGGCATAGTTTTGTTGCACTCGTCGATGAAGAGGTGATCACACCAGCTTTCGCACCTTCACATGTATGCACCCCTGCTTGCTTAGCATTGCAAGTGCAATGTACGTTGTATGCATGCGTCAGCCAAGTACTGGGGAATGGGCTGGGGGCCCAGGGAAGGGGCGAGCTGACGCGGAAGCCCCGGTGTACCGTCGTAACAGGGAACCTTCACCTTTGTCGCAAATTCAACACCTGCTGCCTGCTTGTCTAAATCCTGATGCGCCTGCTATCCAAATCAAGCAAACCACTGGAACAGGTGCCTGGCGCATAACCCAGGCAAACACACGTTTCCGGCATGGCTTGACTTTCCCCCCATTATGGAGTCCCCAAAATTTGTCCATCTGGCCGCCTGGAGTACTGTACTGTATGGGCAGACGCACGTGGCAATGGCGTATCAGCAACCTTTGATCATGCAAGCAGACCATGTCAACACTGACATATCATACAACACCAGCGCGACGGGGCTGAAGCCCGGTCATGTGGCGCTGTCGGCTGTGGGCTGCGGAACTTGAGCTGCTCAGCTCAACTGGTCTGTCTTGCCGGCGTGCAACTGGTGTTTTGCAAGGCAGCCAACACCGATACGGCCTGTTGTAGCGAGTATTTTAGGCCCGCGCTTATCATATGCAATACACACGCACCCATTCCTTTAACGCCTCGATACGTACTCGATTAAAAAGTGATCTTACACCCGATCCAGAACTGCTATCCAGCTTCTAGCATGTCCGTGCAGACGGCTAGATGCACATTCACTGCACCGGTGTGGGCTACGCACCGTCCTGTGCTTCGGCTTGCGTTCCTCGCGCTGATGGCGCTTGCTGCATTTCATCCCGCAGAAGGCAGGCCCGCCCGCCTGCGCCCGCCTGCCGCTGGCCTCCGCCTGCACCCGGAATTTCAAACCACGGCACAGCTGCAGAACCTGATCCAGAGGCTGCCGAAGGCGGAACTGCACTTGCACATAGAGGGCACCCTCGAGGTGGACATGTTGTTCCAGCTGGCTCGCCGCAACGGGGTGCAGCTGCCCTACGCCGACGAGGCGGCGGCGCGTGCCGCACGCTCCAATTTCACCTGCCTGGAGGTAGGGGGTGATGGAATCCTGATACCTGGGGGTTGCAGGCTTTGAACGGTGCCGAGGCTGGCGGTTCAAGTGGGCTGCTGTGCGGCCCGTCAGCCTGCGTTGCTTGAGTGCGCCAGACTCGCTTGAAGCTTGGATCTGATGCATGCTGGCACCATGCCCATTACTTACCAACACATGAATAGCAGTACGCGTGTGCAGCAGCAGCATTTGAAACCTCTCTTGTCACACTGTGTGCTCCCCTGTCTCTCTCATCAAGACCCCTGGCACCTCCCTCACTTTCATTCCTGATCCTTGTATGTTTGGCGCCCCTATCGTGCCATGTTGCGAAGGACTTCATCGATCTGTTCACTGACGTCAATGTGCTGCGCACAGAGCGCGACTTCTACGAACTGGCTGCGGCATACCTGCGGCGAGCAGCTGCTGAGAATGTAAAGCACGTTGAGATGCAGTTCGACCCCCAGGGCCACATGATACGGTGGGTGGTTGGGTGGCTTTCCCCTCAGTGCGTTGAAGAGAGGAAGGCAGATGGACTGGCAACGCAGCGGTTAGTTCAGGCCAAAAACTGGCAGCAGGAAGCTGCACGGCAGGTGTCACAGGATACGATCAGATCCGCTCCCAGAAGATACAGGATTTTTGGCTGCATACTTGCATGGGCACACCTGCATGCCAGCGTGACCTTGGGTGTCGGTGGCCCCGAGCCCTCCACCAACGCCTGAGCCACATGCAGCTCTGACACAAACCCTACACGCCACCTTGCCTCCCCCCTCCCTTCGCGCAGCGGCATCCCATTCGCCACCGTTTACAACGGTCTGTCCCGCGCAATCCAGGAGTCCCCTGTAGATGCGTCCCTTATATTTGCATTTGAGCGTAGCCGCAGCCAGCTGTCTGCAGCGAAAGCGCTGATGCAAGCTGTGCCGCATCTGAGCGGCATCTGCGCCGTTGGGCTCGCGGGGCCCGAGGTGGGCAACCCTCCAAGCAATTTCAAGGAAGTTTTCGGGTCGGCACGGCTGCTGAGGCTGCACAAAGTGGCGCACGCTGGTGCGGGGCTAATCGGTTTGGGGATTCCAGGCAACTCTTACACCTAGAGCATCGATATCTTCAGCGTGTGGGTTTCGCATGTGTCGCTAACCCAGCCTTGCTGCCCGCGCGTCCCCCTGCTCATCTTGGTGACACCCCACCATCCGGCTGACCCCTGAACCCCCCTGGCAACGCGCCCCTTGATGCGCCATTACAACGTTTTATCATGCCCATGCGAAGGCGAGGAGGGCGGCCCCTCCTACGTGCGCGAGGCCCTCAGTCTGCTGGGTGCGGAGCGCATAGACCACGGCATCCGCTCCCTGGAGGACCCGGCCCTGGTGGCGGCCATGGTGAAGAGCCAGGTGCCCATCACGCTGTGCCCGCTGAGCAACGTGAGGCTGCAGGTGTACAAGGGGCAGCTGGAGGATCGCATACGCCAGGTCCTGGCCAGCGGGATGCGCGTCACCATCAACAGCGACGACCCGGCCTACTTTGGGAGGTGGGCTGTGGGGGAGGAATGAAGCATCAAGAAAGCCGCAGGCGACAAGCCTGAAGGGGCCCAACAACGCGGGTGTGAGCTTAGCCAACAGCAACGCGTGCCTCAATAATCTGCATTTTCTCTGAAACACCGCCCGACCTGATCTTGACCCTCCATTTGACTTGCAACTCTTCAGCCTTGTGCCCAACTCTCACCCACCTCCCACGTCCCATCAGCTATGTGTCTGGCAACTACGAGTGGGTGGCGGGCATAGCTGGGCTAGGACCAGATGACCTGGCGTCGCTGGCAGCCAACTCTTTCACGTCGAGCTTCATGCCACAGGTTGTTTGATAGCAACATGTTCGGCAGGCTCGAACAAGCCTGTCGTGCCGTTTTTTGTCGCTGCTTATCACGTTGGCGCTTCACAAGGCTGGATTGCTAGGGTGTGCAAGGGGACAGCTTAAGCTCAATCTGGTTGTTGGGCTGCCCACTCACCAGCATGATCAACACCCCCTGACGCAGGAGCGCAAGGACGCGTACGTGGCGGCCGTTTGGTCTGAGCTTGCACTCTGGAGACAGCAGCAACAGCAGCAGCAGCAGCCAAGTCAGGAGCAGCTTTAGGACCAGCCCACCCGCCCCACATTCCGCGTGCAGGTGGAAGAGCAGCACATCGCTGTCAGCCGCAAAGAACGATGCAAAAGACAACGCGCGAACACAATGCTGCATGCATGCGCCTGGTAATGACCCTGGCATGTTTTGTTTTTCACCGGCGTGTAAGCCTGGTTTCTGTACATGTCTGTGCCACCAGTGCTGCTAGTAAAAGCCTGCGGCTGGAGCTGTATTTCATGCGAGCCGCCCCATCCGGCACCGATTGCCCTGGTTTCTGATGGTGTGGGGGCACAAGCTTGTTTTTGGATGCTTCAGTACCTGCACTTCTCTCAGCCAGTTCCAAGTACTTCAGTTGCTATTTAATGGCAATTCTTACAGCTGCATGCAATCGGACAAGCAAATTAGGATGACGCGTGCCAGAGGTGAGGTCATCCGTCACTCGTCAGCCGCTGCCAGGATAGCTGCAAACTCCCCCTCTGATATGAGGCCGTCCCCGTCAGCATCAAACTCAACTACCATGTCGTGCAGCTCGTCAGGGGTGATGTCCACCTGCGTCGCAAAGCAAGGTTAAGGGGGAGGTTGACCACACGTGTTGATGGCGCGCCAATGCAAGCGCTGCCTCAACACAATCCTGGCTCACTGCTGTTCAGGCCCACTTATTCCAGCTGGGCCAGGCCCATCCGAAGCCTGAGCACATTAAATAATGTGTGCATCATTCTGCGATGCTCGCCTGCAGCTGCTTGGCAATAACCCTCAGGTCCGCCGCAGATACGCCCCCTCCACCCCCAAGGTCGAACAGTTGAAACGCTCGAGCCACCTCCTCCCGTGGCGACCGCTCCAGCAGCTTGGCCGCGCACACCTCTCGGAACGAGTCAAAGCAGAGCGGCAAGGCCGCATCAAGGCCGGCATCGCGCAGCAGTGACCGCACGTCGGCTTTTTTCACTGGAAAGCCCATGGCACGCAGCGCGATCTTGAGCTGCCGTGGTGTCACCTCGCCGTCCTGGCCCTCTGACAGGCGGTCAAACGCATACGCGACCTCGCCCTCCATGTCATCGGACAGGCTGCGCAATCGCGAACGCTGATGTGATGGCTGATGCATAAACAGTGCGCTGCGGGGTATGTCCATGACGGCACTCTGGCGGTGCATTGCTGCTGGTGCCGCCGCTGCTGCTGCTGCTGTGCTGCGTCTGTTGAGCGACGCAAAGGCCGCCAATCGCCCTGTTTCACCCGGATCAATATAGTCCTTTAGCTTTTTCAAAATTGAATTCGTCCCAGGTTCTGCGCTCCGACTGCCCCCCGCTTTTTCGGAGGGTGGGTCAAACGAGCAATTTGCGAAGCTCCGATCTGAGTGCAGTGCGAAACATGCGAAAGACGCAGCTATTGGATGGAACACGACAAGATAACTTAGAAGTATACCTCAACTACCTTGGAGTCGTAGTCGGCCGTCACCGTCTCACCGGGGATCAAAGGAGCAGGTGTGCGGCAAGCAGCGGAGTGCACAAAGCGAGTGGGGTATCCCTGCCCGTACCCATTCCACCGGGACTCGTATCACACAATCACCTGAGCGCGATGGTGAGTCGATCAGAGCGGCAGAAGTGATGTAAGCTGACAAATACATGCGCGCGACACGCAACAGGATGCGCATGACTCAATGCTGGACACTACTGTACTGCGCGACCGCAACAGCAGCACAAGCCACCCAAAAACATAGGGCCCCTCAATCTCAACTGGCTATAATAGTTGTCCAGAGAATTTCAACCTTCTAAAGGAAGAGCACATGCTGGCATTACCTCGCCAACTGCAACCTGCAGGGAGCTGGCCGTGGTTCTCCTACGGTAGTGAAGTCACCTGGGGTGCAGATACACGGCGTCATCTGCAGCCTGTGCTCACGGGCACAACACCAACAAACGCATCATCTATATTATTCATACATGTGACTGGCGCCTGAAGGGTCTAGCCGACACGGGGGAGGACCGATGTGAGCAAACACCCTACGACGTCTGCAATGCTGGGCTACAGTGCAGTGCTGGGACATGCTGTGGGGAGCTACAAGTGATATCAAAATCATTCCAATTTTACACTGGCCAAAAGCTAAACACATGATGAAACACGCACTTGTCACGGAAATATCCTGCATTTGTTCAATATTTATTATGTGCCGTATTTTTTTATATCGCCACGCTCCAGCTGCTGCCGCATGTAGTCAACTGTGGAGGTGAAAGGAGTGACGAATCAGAATAGCAGACAGGAGAGGGATACGGGGTTAGGGAGCAAAAGACACAGAAATTCAGAGATTGAGATTGAACGTGCGTTTGAATGTGCATGTTTGCGTGTGTGTGCACGCACGTGCGCCTCCGTGCATGCGTGCATGCATGTGCCTGTGTCGTTTGTGCTGTGGACATGTCAGACAATCACACGCAGGCACCAGATTGCACGCAGGTGGTGGGTCGGCTCCTCCCATACCACCACCTTCCACTTCACACACCCTCATAAAACAATGTCTCGCCGTCCTGCAAGGATGCCATTAGTGAAAAGTGCGAGTGAGGGCAAGGGCGTCAAGTGCGATTGCAATCGCACCGGTCTCAATGGTGCTGTGCACACATGCGAGCAAGGGCACAAGCCAGCAAGCGCGTGAGCAAGCAACGTAGGTGCGCAGGCACGCACCTCAAAAAGAATCTTGTATACACAGTGCTCGAACCGGGGATCAGGGATTGTGTTGTAAGTCAGCACCTGGCACAGTGTGCAAGACAAGTGGAGTGGCGGCACGAGGGAGGGTGCGAGCTGACTTCATGTGCCCTGTGGGTTCAGCTGAAGCGCCGCGCGTCCCGTCGAAACACTGCACCCGTAAGGATCTTGGTTGAAGACGGTCGCGCGCAGCCAGGGCGCGTAGGAAGCCGCCGCTGGTCCCCTCTCGTCCTGTGGCCGGTCCAGGCGAAGTGTCGTTGACTCACCCCACGGTACCACGCTACGTCGCCATCATCCCCCACAAGGAAGCGGCCGGCGACCTCGTCACCCGACTTCAGGCGGAATCGGCTCAGCAGCGTGTCGGTGTCAACTTCCAAGCCGCCCGCCAGCGTGCTGCTGCTCGGCTGGTCTGACAGCCACAGGGAGCTGGGGCTAGCAGGGGCAACCTGCGGCTGCTGCTGCTGCCGATGCTGTTGTTGCCGCTGCTGCGACTGCTGCTGCTGCTGTTGCGGCCACGTCATCGTGCATGAACGCACCAGGTGCCCTCTGAATGGCTTGCTGTCGTCACGCGCGCGCCTGGTAGGAAGACTCTGCTGCACGCACGCCGCGCCCACCAAGCACTAGCAGCACGAGCAGCGAACACAGGCGTGGAACAGCACAATCCACCCTCTTGCAATCACGCTGACTCCCTCTCGCTGTTGGCGGGCACTGCTGTACTTTGCGACGTTTACTTCGCGTTGGTTCGCGCTATGCCGGGTGCGATGCCAGATCGCTTGGGTTTACGTATTGAAGACTCGGTCTGATAAAGCCTCATACCTTCCTCTTAAGGGGATGGTCAACGGCGCCATGGCCCCGACGCCGGCCTTTGCAGACGGCGTCAGCGAGTGACTGCTTGAGTTGGCTCTGCCGCAGGGTGGAACCACAAGGTATCCCTGAAGAAGCACTGCGCTAGAAGCGTTGATCACGCTGAGGGGCGCGTTGTGCAGTTCATGACGTGTGTCGGGGCAAAAGGTCGCAGGCTCAGGTTGCCGGGCGTCGTGTCAGGCAATTCGCATGTGCGTGCGCACATGGACCAGAGGGGGGTGTGTGGAGGGAGGCAGGACTTCTGCTACCCGCCATCCCTGTCAAGCATCAGTATCGTGCCTTACGACATACATGCACAAGCCAGGAACCTAGTCAACATGGTCAACCCCCATGAGCGCAAGATTTGTGCAAAGCGAGGCAGTAAAGCCCAACAAGCCGTGTAAATGCCCACATTTTGTGTCCATATGTAGTCACCTTTACATCTGTCAATGTCAGCAAGCCGAGTGCATGCTGCACCGTCACCTGGTGCACACGTCACCCCCCGCACGAGTAATCTTCAGCTTCTCTATTGCTGCAGCTGCCTCAATTCCCGTGTGATCATGTGCAGTACATGTCCATACCTCTGCATCATCGTACTCGATCTCAGCACAGCCTAAATAGGTGGAAGCCACCGTCTACATCTGCTCTACACCATGGCGAACGTCGTGAAGGACGACGGCAACGGGCTGGACAAGGTGGTATTGAAGACGCCCAATGTGAGTCGAGCAAAAAGCCATGGGTGCGTCGCGTCAGATCGAATGACCTTTCAGATCGATCAACCGACCGATTTACTCTTGCAGGGGGCTTCTGCGGAGGTGTACCGTCACGGAGCGCACCTCACATCCTTCAAGACCGCATCTGGCAAGGTACGGTGCCGTCGTGCAGTGGACGACGCACGCTCGGTGCCCTCTGGTGCCCACTGCCCAGCTTGTGTCACACCCCACCGCACGTTGATGATGGCCACTTGCTCACATCGGCGTGCAGGATGTGCTCTTTGTGAGCAAGCAGGCTGTGTTCAAGCCGCCCAAGGCCATCAGGTGTGTGCAGCACCCAGCGCGAGGCGGCCTCCGTCCCCTGCAACGCTATCTGCAAGTTGTCTGGCCGCATGAGCTATGCAGCTTGCTGTAGATTCGCGGCTGCATCTCCAATCGCGCAGGGGCGGCGTGCCTGTGTGCTTCCCGCAATTCGGCCAGCTGGGTCCCCTGGGACAGCACGGCTTCGCACGTAACGCTGCGTTCGAGGTCGTGGGCAGCGGCGACAACAGCGTCACACTCGTGAGTGGGGTGTGAAACCAGGAGTTTGTCAGCCCCGCCTTTGAGATCGCAGAGGGCAGTTGCATCAGCTAGCAACAGGCTGGCACAAGCCAGGCTTTGCCGTGTCTGCTCCCTTGGCACGCATCTCTGCCCTGCCTGCCGTCTGGCTCGACTGCCTGCGTTTGCGACAACGGGTCCCTGCAGGAGCTGGCGGCTAGCGGGAAGGAGGATGAGCGCTATCCTCATCCCTTCCAGCTGCGGGTCACCGTGACCCTGGCGGATGAAAGCCTCACGCAGAAGCTGACGGCAATCAATACAGGTGCGGGACATGGCGTGGCATGGCCGGTGCGCTGCGTGACGGTTGGGTTGTCGCGGGTGGTGAGCGCGTGGTGATCAGTACATGTTGGCGCGTCTGCGCTGACGCTGCCGAACAGACTTGGTTTGCCTGCCAGCGTCAAGCCGCGCTCAGCATGAGCCCAGCAGCCGAGTTGATGTGTGTCTTGGGCATGACGCCCCTCCTGGATGCCTACAGGCAGCTCACCTATCGCGTTCACGTGCGCACTGCACACCTACTTCACCGCGTCGGCGATCGACAAGGTGTGGCCACACCTGCTGCTTGAAAGATGCCTGCAGGGATTGCAGGCGCCTCTCCGAGTGTGCGCACTTGCGGCTGAAGCGTGCGTTTTGCATTGATATGACCTCTGCCGAAATTCAGAATTGACGCCCCTCACATATCTGGTGAATCTTCTGAAATGCCCACTTTGTTGCCTTGGCTCACAGGTGCGCGTGGAGGGTCTGGACGGCGTGGGCTTCACAGACAGCCTGCAGGGCGGCAAGCCGCTGACGCAGGAGGGGCCCGTGGTGTTTGACCAGGAGGTTGACCGCGTGTACATCGGTACGCCAGGCAGCATCAAGGTGCGACGGGGAGGGGACTGGGGGGGGGGGTGGCGATCGTGGCGG